CGGGAAAACGTTCCCGAAGCGCAACTCTGCGTCCCCGGGCCCGTCCCCTACAGCCGCAGGAAATTTTTGGGCCAGAAGAGGAGACTCCCGCCACGGAACAGTGTCTTCAGGGACCTAAATTGCTGTCTCCCCTAGAGAACTACCACGAAGGACTAAATTCTCCTGCCCCGATTCTCCCTTTGGGTTCCCTTAGCTCTACAGAGACCGTGCCTGGGGGGTACCATGGCGGCTGTGCACCTCCACATTAAAGGTTTACATTCTCGCCTCCGCTAATCGATTGCTTTCCTTTGACTCCACATACTCTAAGAGCCATGCCTGCTTATATAAAACCAAGGTGAACAGCCCAAAAAGGCTTTTGAGTAACTATATTGCAGGCATCCAGCCACCATGATAAAGCCTCTCTGTAGATATTTCAAATGGGTTCCAACAGACACTGCTCCCCAACAGGCAGAGGTATCAGATACTGCAGCGCCAGTGACTGTAGGTGAGCGTCTGGAGTCACCAGCAATGCTTCTATTTTACAGCAGTGAAAAGCAAGCAGCTGAATACTTGGTCCTGTTCAACCACGAGCTCTCTAAAGGTGGCTTGGGCCAACTGATGGGTTTGTAGCCAAGGCACAGGCCTGCAGCACAAGGTGCTATTTCTGGCTTTCCCACGGAGTTCCTTCTGACCTTGGCCACTCTGTCTGCTTCACTTCTTTGCACTTCCCCTTCCTTTCTGTTACATGAGGTACTGATACAGAATGTAAGATTTACAGATTTTTTTTTAAAAGTTCAGCCTGTGGCTTGTAGCTGACAGCTGTAAAATATAACTCCCAGTAAGAAGTGCAGACCTGTCTAGGAACTTTTCAAATAGTATATCTTAGGAACAAGGTTAACAGATCCTGAATAAGTTCATTAAGTCACTCTGAAGAAGTCAGCAGGCACTAAGATGAGAAGCAGACTCCCAAGATAAGCAGACACCCAAGATAAGCGCAGAAGGACCAGGCCTTGCCACTCGTGAGCCAGCTTATGACCATATATGGAGGAAAGGCTCAGAGTTCATGGAAAAGGACACTGAGAGACCCCTCTACAACATCCACTGAGGACCGCCGAAGACCACCGACTCCAATCACCGAGCATGCATGTTAGGAGCAGCGATTCCCCGTGCATCTGGCACTGTAATAAGGAATGCCTGCCTGCCTTCTAAAACTTTAAACAAGCCTTAGAGGGTGTTCCCCCTTATGGGAACAGTAAAATCAAACCTTCGTTCTCAGAAGAAGACAGGGAAGTTCCCTCCTTTTACATGAAATCACATGGAAACCATTGAACACAAAAAGTGTTTCTATGCCAGGAAGCTGTGTGTTGTATTCTGTGTTTGATTAATCACTTTTGGGGGCAGTGCTTGCTGGTGCAGCAGCCCTTCCCTTCCGCTCCCAGATGTTTCCATCCTGGCAGTGCTCTCTGTTGGGCTGCTACAGGTACTTGAGTGACAAGCAGGCTCCAAGTGCCAATCCAACCCAACTTTTGCCCTTTTTTTACTAGGTCACACACACTTTAACCCTTTACAGCCAGGTCGTCTGCTTTGTCCAGTCCACAATGGAGCCACAAAAACCCAGAGGTACCAGCACGACAGAGGGGTAATGAGGAAAATAGGTCAATTAAGCAGCACTACCACTGAACGTGAAACCATAAGCCTTAGCACTTGTGTGTCATTCATGCTTTAACAATACGATTTAACACTACAGTAAATTTAGTTTAATAATGTCAGATTGAAAAATCTGCAGCCAGGTCATAAAAAAAACCAACCCTCCAACAAACCAAACAACTGTGTGTGTCAGTCCTGACCAACACCACCAGCTAAGATGTCTGCTTTATGGCGCTATACTCATGGTCTTCACAGACGCTCAGTCACTCTCTGTGAAGGCAAGGTTAACTGGAGTAAGCAAAATTTTTTAATAAGGGCTATTGAATCAGGCCTTCTGTTTGTAATAGCTCTTAATAAGAGATTTCATGGGACAAATTCCATTCCGTCAGAAACTGCAGGGCCACACATGCATCCAGAGGCACACTGTGTCCAAAAGAGTTTGCAGAGGGCTGCCAACCTGTACAATTAATTTCTTTTAGCTCATTTCATGAGACTAATGCTTCCATGCCATCTTGCACAGAAAGCACCTCCTCCCGTACGTACTGATCCAAGAACTGCAGGCTGGGCAGTAATCTGTGGAAAATCATCTCAGACCTTCCCAGCTCTCTCTCCTGTTATGTAACAAGATAAATTTGCACTTCTCATTACACCCAGCCAAGTTCCAAACAATTTGAGTTTCTAGTCCACAGAAGGACAGTGGGGAATCTGGGAGAAATGCAAACCCCTTCATATTAATGGTAAAGATCAAAGTCTTTTCCACAACTGACTTCCAAGCATAACTTTTTCTTTCATCTCTAGCTTCTCCAGGATGAGGGAAGATTCATGCCTGGCAGTTTCAGAGTTGAGTTTAATAGGATGCCAGGTGGCAGCTGTCAAAGGCAGGCTCAATTGCTCTTTCTGCTGTTTGGGAATGGATTTGCTGCTACACTGCTACACTTTCAGAGATTAAACCTGACATTACTTCCCAGGGTTTGATTTTAAAGTAGCTACCCAAACTGTAAGTAAGCTAACAGTTCTGCAGCTACACCCTCACATAGCTTACATGTATTAGTCTTCAGGTATATACACATACATGTACCACAACACATCCACAAATGCTTCACAGGAGAATACATAAGCTATTTTTAGGAATGAGGGACATTAAGTTCCTTCCTAAACTCAGTGTGAACCAGTTTCAGCTGTGAGCTGGTACCTTTCTGCTATTTACTTCATACAGGTTCCAGAATGAACAATGATGTCTGCTTTTTCTCTCTCCTGTCTGTCAACTGCTCTTTCTTGTTTGTTTGTTCTACTTTTTCACCTGTGGAAAAATTCAAAGCGTATAGAGAGTTTTCTTAAAGAAGAAAAATACAAGGAAGCTAACATATAGCACAGCGTGCTGTGCAAAGGGAGGCAACCACAGATGTACAGCTCTGGAAGGACTCTGCAAGAAGTCATCAAACCCACCTTCCTCTTGCCACAGCCAAGTACGTTCAGATCTTCCCCGGCAAAAGTTCATCTAACTTCCTACGAAAGAACTAACACACTTAATCACTTAATCTTACTAAATAAGATACTGGGGGGAGTAAGCAAAATCAATTTTCTCATCTAAGTATTCTTTCCTAGCCAAATTAACATGGATTGCTTAAAATGGAAAAAGCTGACCATTGCCCTCCTTGTAACAGGGCACGTTCCCATACCTTCCCCTTTCTTCTTTCTAGGCAAACCAAAATAATTCTTCCAATTTTTCATCAAAACTAGTTTTTCTAAACCTTTTTTCTTTCCAGTTCACCACTTCTCCCATTTTTCTGCTTACTTCATAAACTGCGATGCCTGAGAATGAAGATAGTCCACTCTGAGGTCTCATCCACTGTGAACAGAATATTAGAGCAATTTGTGCTTAAAGCTTAAAAAACTGTAAGCACCAGATACAACTAAACACTATTAAGTACTTGCAACTCCAACAAAAGCAGGGTTTTTTACTCCCTTGTTGCCTCTGTCTGGATCATGAAAATAACTGTGGGTCTCACCTGTAAAAAGCCTCCTGTAAGTGATGATGTAGG